AAAAGTACTAGAAGCAAGACTTTCAAGGGGGTATTATGAGGAATTTCAAACACAACTTATGTTTACTCATCTTCTCTGCCAGCTTATCTTCTAGCCACCTCCTGGGGCTTTTGTTGCGGACGTGTTTTTGGGTGTGTTTTTACTGTCCTCACCGCTTAAAGGGATAGTTCACCAACAAATGAAAATTACCCCATAATTTACTCACCCTCAAGCCATCCTAGGATTTTGTACTTCTAATTCGTGACCGGTGTTTTCTTTTGCTCTCTCCTCCGCGCTTCCACGTTCGTCACTTCCGCGTTCGTCACCGCGTTTGCCTACTTCCTACGTCATCCGCTGGACGCCACTCTCTCGTGAATGCGCGTACGCTAGGATGGCTTGAGGGTGAGTAAATAACAAGCTAATTTTCATTTTTGGGTGAACTAACCATATATAAAGACCACAACCAAAATAATGCCAAGCACCACTGCAGCTACAACTGCTGCCATTATCACTTTGTACTTAATATTCTCCCAACGCTTCTTCTGTTTCACCTTAATCGAGGTCTTTGAGAATTTTTCGCTCTGAAAAGAAATAAGTACAATCATTAAAATAATTATTTTAAGAGAGAGAGAGAGAGAGAAAGAGAGAGAGAGAGAGAGAGAGAGAAAGATTCTTGATGGCACGAGTGGAGTTTTTTCAGAATTAGAACTGACTTCATTTTTGACTGTTACAAAGACTCATCTGAAAAATAAGAGTGGAAAAACATGCAAGGCTTTGTACTTTTGTACAGGGTGTTTTGTTTTCTTAACTGTAATTATAATCTTTGTTTAAGAATTGAACTCATTTCATAATTTTATATTTAACTTGTGATACTGACAGTTATTCAACTGAATTAAACTAAACTGAGATGAATAGTAACACGATTGTCCTCTGTAGAGCTCCTTTACAGCTGAAATTGAATTTGTTGCTTCAAAACTGATCAATTTTACAAGTTACACTATTTCCCCTTTTATTATTGTGTTTTTATTCATTTTTATGAAGCTGCTTTGAAACAATATGTATTGAATAAAGCTCTGTATAAACAAATGTGACTTGACCAACCAAGACTTTCAATGGGATTTTTAGTATGTTTATATAATAAAAAAAACACGAAACCAAAGTGAACTTGTTGCCTGACTGCAGGGCATGTACTGCACAAACAGCCTGCTACACTATTACACAAGTGTTGTTCATTTCATAACAAAAGGAAATGGCGTTCTAAAATTAACAAGGTAAACTAAACTCAGGATGCAAATTGTACACTCTTTTTTCCGTACACCCCACCTAGACACTATTAATAGACTCCAATTTGACATGCCCTTGCTTTCCCTAGAAACACTTGAAATTCCAGAAACCTAGTTTATGGTCATAAGACTCCTCAACAAACCATAAAACAAGATCATAGAACCATAAAATGCATAATTAATTGGGCATGCTTTTTGTCAAGCAGTTTTAAAGGCATAAATTAAATTATATTTACTAAATGATAATATAAACTATCTAGATGATAATATTAACTAACATGTTCAAGTAGTTTATCAGCTCGGTCCTCAAGCTCCCCGAGTTTTCCCGCACGCTCGTCAGCCTTGTTCATGTTATCCAGCATGATAACTTTGATTTCCTCCACATCCTCCTGGGCCTGACGGAGGCGGCTTTGCCCATTCTCCTGGAGACAGATGAAATAGATTTATTGGGAAACAGAATGACTGGCAAACATCCTTTACAATACATACATTATCATCAATACATTTCTGCAACAACATAATTTTCCCTATGAGAGACTAAATTGTCCTATTAGATGTTTAACAGAAGAAAAAAGCAATCAATGACTGATTAAACACAAAAAGTGGTAATGAAGACTTCCTGGACACCTCCCATGCATAATAGGCTTGGAGTTCTGTTGACAACAAGCACTGGGAATGGAATTCTGGAACAGAGCCTCTGCTCTCTCAGTTTATGATGGAACAGCGCAGGGGAGAGACAGAGAAACTGTGCATTTCTACAAGCTATTGCATCAAAACCCACAATGAGGCCTTTGTGAAAACAACATGGCTGAGATCCACGAAATCCATGAGATCCATTTAGAGACTGTGACCTCTCTGACATTAGCAGTCTACAGCATCTGACACATTGTGTATATCAGCTGAGTCAGAATGTTAATTCCTCTCTTTGTGCTCAGAAGGATGCAAGTGACTTGAGGTCAAGGTTTAGTTGATGAGTGGCCCATCGTAGATGGGAAACTGTCACACAAAGATCAATGAAATTATTCATTTTACAGGAAATACCACTTATTACTCATGCCATCTCACGTCAGAACCGTACACAATAGAACAGTGGTTCTCAAAAATGGGTCATAAGTTTTAACAGGAACAGCAGGGATAAAAAAAACAATGCTAAATGCAAATTGTAAAAAATGCAACTAACATTATAACATTGTGTCTAGACTATCAAAATAAATAAGTTTATGTTTTACAAGTAAGGAGAAACCCATATATTGTTTTGTTGACACTGAAGGCTTTGCATGAATTTAAACTCTAGAGTAGCGCAGTGAGCATAATTTTTTTCAATATTAACAGCATGAATTTTCAAGAGACATTTATCATCTAATAATAGACCAATTAATACTTTTCAATGTTTGAATTTAAGATTTTATGAATTGAATGTTTTGAATTTAACTTTTTGTTTACATTTGTACTAGAAACAATACATATAGAATTTAAAAAATATCTGTGTATAAATAAATAAATAACCACATATGGATGCTAAAGCAAAACCAGTGATATAGCTAGTCTTATGAATAGAAAAAAAAAACAACTTCACAAAACAAGACTGTCATAAAATAAACCATAAAATGGGTCACACACTGTATACATAAGTACATATCAGTGTATAAATAAATATGTAAATATCTGGATGCTAAAGCAAAATGAGTGATATAGTCTTATCGATTTAAGTAAACAAGGTTTTAGTAGTGTGGCCATGAAATGGGCCACACATTGCATAAATAAATAAATACAATTGTAATATACTGAGATATAGTATAGAAATATTCATCTTTAAAATAGTAGAAGCACAAAGGATCAAACAAAAACTTATTACAGAAGAGCATGTTGATGAGTTTTTCATCACACTCTTTGCATATGAACAGAACTGCAGGATACACCTCTCTTTTTACATCCGTTCTTTGCCTCCTTCCTTCCTTCCTCTCTCACTTCGACTGCTATAATGAATATGGAATTTCCTTGAGACTAGACAAAATCCCCTCTCATGTGTTTCAACTAAACAAAAAGTGTCATGTTGTCATTTCAAGCCACCTGAGATGAACCAACAATAAGGGTTACTTACTGCAGAAATCTGAAGGGAAAACTTTGTTGCTGGTGGTGTAGGAAAAAACTAGATAAAATCACAGCTGGGGAAAATGCTAGGATAATGAATTGGTTAGTGTTCAGGTCTGGCTGTACTTGCTCTTCTTTAACCATTTTGTTTTAATGTTGCGCTACAGCTGCAGTCAAAAGTTTACATATACACAAAATCTGCAAAATGTTAATTATTTTACCAAAGTAAGAGGGATCATACAAAATGCATGTTATTGTTTATTTAGTACCGACATTCTAATTTATTGAGATGCACCTGTATATGTACACTTTTGAACGGGGTCATTTTTATAAATTCAGCTATTATTTTTTATTATTTATCTTGTGGACTATATGTAAACATCTTTTATGCGAAATCTTATTCAGGTCAGTATTAAAAAATAACATTCATTTTGTATAATCCCTTATTTTGGTAAAATAATTAACATTTTGCAGAGTGCTATGTAAACTTAAAAGGTGTATGTAAACGTTTTGACTTCAACTGTATATGAATCTAGAGTACACAATCCACTACCTATAAAAACACATTATTTTCCTATTGGTGTGTACATCACTTAAGTTTGTTTGGTGGCTTTCGTATCAGCTAAGGTCAAAACTAGCTTTTTGTCCCTCTCTAGAGATGTAATGCAGATTGGTGGATGTACCAAACTAAATTAATACAAACTCATACAATAATACAAATAAATTGTTTACCATTAGTGTTTTAAGATTGAAAATGAGAGGAAGATAAAAAAAAAAAAGTCATACTTTTGCTGAGAGATCAAATTTTTATTTACAAAATATCACATTTCATTCCAGATATTTATGCTAATAAGATTCAAATCCAAGGCACTTAAATGGTTTTTAAATTATCACTTGTACTAGATGATTAAAAAATGATTCAATGTCTTGATCAAAAAGGTTTGTTTATAATAATGAGAGAGAATAACATATAAAACTGCTTAAGATAAGTAAGATGTTAATGGAAGCAACATGAGATACAGCATAATAAGAATCAGGTTTACAAACATTCAACGCAGTCGAGTCATTCTGACTACACAGACATCCAATGCCTTGACTAAATTGTTTACCATTAGTGTTTTAAGATTGAAAATGAGAGAAAGATAAAAAAAAATGTCATACTTTTGCTGAGAGATCAAATTTTTATTTACAAAATATCACATTTCATTCCAGATATTTATGCTAATAAGATTCAAATCCAAGGCACTTAAATGGTTTTTAAATTATCACTTGTACTAGATGATTAAAAAATGATTCAATGTCTTGATCAAAAAGGTTTGTTTATAATAATGAGAGAGAATAACATATAAAACTGCTTAAGATAAGTAAGATGTTAATGGAAGCAACATGAGATACAGCATAATAAGAATCAGGTTTACAAACATTCAACGCAGTCGAGTCATTCTGACTACACATAGACATCCAATGCCTTGACCTCTCTGAAGCAAAGTGCATAAAGCTACCCAGAAAACAAGAACATTCAGAGAAGCGATTTTCATTGGCTGAATTGAGATATGTAAAACGTTTTTAAACAAAAACTGCAAATTGAAAATTACAGTACAGGCTCTAAAACATTCCTCCTTTGCTCGAAACAGGAAAAAGTTACATGTCTTGGGTTTCATTAAGATCCCGCAGTGCAAGGCCAAACTTTTGATGCAGTACACTCAAATTCTGATTACAGTACTGACTGCATGTGGTACAGTGCAACTGTTACACTGCATGTCAAATTCAATGCAGTAATCTGAGGATACAGAAAATATCCATCATTCCTATCTAAATGACCTTGTTCAGGTGCTCGTTCCATTAAAAAAATTTTTTTTAATTCATTCTATATATAGGATGAAAATCAGTTTCTCTGTTTTGATGTTTGGGGCATTGCCAATTTTCAGTAAATATTTAAGACAGGAAATTACCCTAAACATCTTACAATTTTATAATTTCCATAATGAAATGGTGTTTTGGGTAATGCAACAGTTATAAGAACACATTTTTGTTTGACCTTTTACAAATAACATAATTGTGGGCAAAAGCACAAAGACAGTGACCCATCAAACACAAAATAGAGACACTTGAAGATCTAAAAGTATTACATAATTACAAGTAACATCTTATGTAATCGAATCTAACAGTCTTAAATACACTTCATAATTCAAAAGATAGAACTTTCACTCATTACCTTCGCCGAATCAATGCCAGTATATGACTATTTCAAGGGTACCTTCATTATGAATAATATTGCAAGTATTTGTATACAGCTGTGGCATTTTATCAGGCTTTAGAGAACCATAAATACCACTAGGATGATCTTTCAGGAGGAGAGAAGTATGAAAACAGACAGCATTGCGTCTATAGGCTATTTAAAATCCTCCACTTCAAGGTTTCCGAAGCTGTCATTATGGAAGCTACTCATTTTAAGGTGGTGTGATACCATAAGATATGAAGGTATATGAGCTAAATGTGCAAATAAAAGGTATGTGTGTGTGTTCCTGAAGTTATGACCTGTGCTGGTGTGTGGACATGGTTGCATATATCTGTATGTGTATGTGAGAGTGCTTGTAACTGATAGAAATCCTATGGAGTGGGAGGTTTGGGTGCGGGTGCACTGGTCGGGATCACACCAGTAGCAAGGAATATGACAATCAGTACAATGATAAGGACTATCACAACAATAACCACAATCAGCTTCACGTTCTTCCACCAGTAAGCGCGAGCAACCTTCTGAGAGGTGTGCTTAAAGTTCTGGGCCTAAGAAGCAGGAAAAAAAAAACAGTATAATGTCAACTAGTGTGCGGCTAAAGCTGCATACATTAGCCTATCAGTTAGAAGTGTGGGGAAAATAAGATTCAGCAAGGATGCATTCAACTGATCAAAACATACAGTAAAGGCAGTTTTTTAATGTTACAAAATATTTCTATTTTAAACAAATGCTGTTTTTTTAACTTTCCATTCATTATAAATTGAAGCACAGCTAAAAAGTAATGTTTCTTGAGCACCACATCAGCATATTGATGAATGATTTCTGAAGGATCATGTGACACTAAAGATTGGACTAGTGACTACCGGAAATTCAGCCTTGCTATTATTATTTACATTATAAAATATATTAAAGGGGTCATATGATGCGATTTCAAGTTTTCCTTTCTCTTTGGATTGTTACAAGCTGATTGTGCATAGATAAGATCCCTGAAGTTGCAAAGACTAAAGTCTCAAATCCAAAGAGATATTCTTTATCAAAGTTAAGACTCTGCCACGCCCCCCTAAAACGGCTCGTTCTAACACACCCCAACATGTCTACGTCACAATGTGGGAAGTTTTGCATAACGCCGCCGGAGAGATCATGTGTAATATTGACAAAAGCGATGCAACAAGATAGCTTTGCCACATTCACACCTCGAAACACTAATAAAGTACTGTAACACTGGTAAATGCAGCGCAAGACCCCATAAGAACCACCTTTTGCATTGTTCATTTTGCCATTTGAGTACTTTTTCCCCATGTTTAGCCACATTAAACACTTTAAGTCCTCTTGAACTGCTGAAGCTTCATAAACAAAAGGTGTTACCAGGAAACCAAAAGCTATGCTGCGTCACTACCTGTCCTACCCTTTCTATTCTAGTCACTGGCTGAGTGTGTTGGTGTCACAACAGAAATCAGTTGTGTTCAATTGGAATATTATTTCACAATATTACTTTATCAAAAATGCTGATTTTTTTCATGAATGAACAGTGGCAGACAGAATATTTTTTAAAAAATACAGAAAAATCTTACCAACCCTAAAATTATGAATGGTAATGTATGTTGTAAAAAGGTGTGCTGGGATTACAGCTGTAATATGTGATTAGAATCAAAGTTTTTGTACTGAAAGACACACCCCAGCTTGCAGGTCTTCAGATTTGCCCATCAGATCATCCAGCCTTTCTCCACGGGCCAAGATCCGATCTACATTCTGGGTCATAATATCCTTGACCCCATCCACTTGAGACTGCAGAGACTGAACTCGATCCACATCCTGTGACGACTCTCCTTCTCTTGGCTCCTGCATTGAGAGGAATTAAAAACCAAAACATGATCAAAATGGCTCCAAGCATACATAGTTATGAAAATCTAGAAAGTTTGTAAAAAGTTATTTTGGTCAAAAGCTCATAAACCTAAGTTTAAAGGGGTCATATGATGCGATTTCAAGTTTTCTTTTCTCTTTGGAGTGTTAGTTGGTGTCACAAGGCCTTCAGAATGGCAGAAAGCTATTGAGTAACATTGGATACTGATGGCCTGAAGTACCATTATTGTGGCAAAATGGGGCCATGTGATATCTATTACTATAATGTGATGACAACAACATAATAAAATGTATCCATCCAGTTATCTATCTTCTTTAAAGACCCTCTAATACCAGCAGCCAAATGTTTTCAAGACCAAACATCACAATTTCAAACCACCAGTTCTTCACAATACTGTCGAAGAACGATATTTAAACCACAAAAAATGGCAGAGGATGTCTTATATTGTGGTACTGTTGAAATTCACTGAAAAAAAAGGTCTACTGTTGGTCAACTTCATCTTAAGCAACACAGTATGCG